AATACGTCTTGAAGCTTAACACCTGTTAACCATGGTCGTCAGCAAACAACCTGTTAATTTACCACCAATAAATTCGGAAGGAATGCCATTAGAAAAAGTTGAAAGCATCACGCACCTCGGTTCTAATTTACATGAAAGCTGGGACATGACCACTGAAGTAAAGACAAGGATAGAGAAAGCTCGAACAGCATTCTTCAAAATGAAAAAGGTCTTCTGCAGTCACGACATAAGCCTAAGATTGAAAATCAGGCTTGTCAGATGTTATATTTTTTCTATCCTACTCTATGGAGTACAGAGTTGGTCTCTGACAGGCTGCCACCTGAAGAGACCAGCAGCATTTGAAATGTGGATTTACAGGCGGCTGTTACGTATAAGCTGGGTTGACAAGATCAGAAATGAGGAGGTGATAAGCCGCCTGGGAAAGCCAAGGGAAATCATCAAAACAATTAAATGAAAGTTAGAATATTTCGGACGTGATGCGACACCCAGAAAAATACAGCATACTCCATTTAATCCTCCAGGGAAAGATTGAAGGCAAACAAGGTCCAGGCAGAAGAAGAAGATCATGGCTTCAAAATCTAAGGGACTGGTTTGGACAAAACTCAGCAGCACTTTTTTCATGCAGTTGCTGATAAAAACAGGATCATCAACATGATCGCCAACATCTGATAACGGATATGGCACGCGCACACACACACACACACACATATATAAAATGTAGTGCAAGAGAGCTAATTCAATGTTTTCAAAATTAATATGCTAATACCATTTAAACCATCACTTCTTTCATCCACTTTAGAAAAAGGAGGAAAAAATGAAAAAAACCAACAAATGTTTAAAACTAGCCCTTGCTGAGACAGACATTGATAACAGACAAGTAAATATATTTACTTGCTATTTTTTGATACTCTTCTCAAGTGTATTAAACACTATAAGTACCAATCTATATTCAGAATAGAATTAACAGGGCATCAAAGTCAAAATCAAATTTTGATTTTTCAGAATCAAACCAGAGAGCCCAATGTTATTTTATAGTCCAATATGCCACCATTATGAGTTGTATCAAGCTAACTCTCAATACTTAAAGACAGATTAAATAAAAACACAATTAAAAATTATTAAAAGTCATAAATCTACAAATTTGTGTGACACGGTGAGTTCTATGTCTAGGCCTATCCGTTTTAAACCTCTGATGAAAAAGGTATCCAAAGGACATTTACAAAGTTGAAAAGGGACAAGAAAAGGATTGGAAAGTAATTTTGACTATTGCACATGGTAAAGCACAAATATTTCCCATATGTGGTAGCATTTTTAACATGTTTCCTCTCTCCTTCCAGAATAATGCAGTTTGGAGAAAATATATTTCACAGCTCATCAATGTATGCTCCAAGCCACTAGAAATTATTACTCAAGAAAAGGAGGTGATATAAATACAGTTCTATCCAAGGCTTCAGTATTTTACAGAAAAAATAGACTTCCAAGGTAAAGCATAAATCTTAGTACAACAACTCTAAAGCATAAAAGGAAACACTCACAAAGGGCAGCAATACAGATTCTTCAGAATACATTTGCTACAATAAGGATTGCTTATTGATTATAAGGATTGCTTGGCAATTAAACAAACTGTAGAGAAAGAACATAGGGGGTTAATCTGTGGCCTTCATGGAACACTTAGCTTCCTTTTTCCCTTCTATTACTGCTGTTTTCATGTTGCCTCTATCCTGGAAACCAACTCAATGAATGGTTGGCTGCCAAAGAATAAAAGCAACCTCAATGAGAAAGGAGATTCAAGGGAAATTTTTTCCTATAGCATTCATTAATATCAATAAACATCCCCACATTGTGCATTTGGGAAGGAAGATACATGTCTGCCCCTCCTACTTAGAAAGGAATGCAGTCCTACTGTGTCCTACACTGAGCTTTGAAGATTAGTAGCAGCAAATCATGGGTTGACGTGATGCTCCTCTGAAGCTCAAAGGCACATTCCAAACTCCTCAAATTCTATCTTAGGAAAAATAATCATACAATCATATAATTTCTATTCACAAGAAACTCAAGTGCAGTTAGACATCTTTCCAAGCACAAGAGTCACATAATCAAGACACATACTTTGTCATCTAAGTATTTTTTTTTTATTCAAACAGAGAGAGGTACAGGTGCAACTTACTTATGGAACTGGAAGTTCCATCATTAAGTCATTGAGATCATAAGTCATACTCAATTTTACAACAATTTTTACGGTGGTTGTTAAGTAAATCACATGTTCATTAAGTGAATGCAACTTCCCTAATGGACATTTTTTTTGCCAGAAATTGGCAAAAAAGATTTCAAATCATGATCGTGTGACTGCAGAATGATGCAACCAACTGAAAATGCAAGTTGGATGCCAAGCACCCAAACTGCAATCAAGTGACCATGGGGGTGGTGTGATGGTTGTATGTGTGAGTACAGGTCATCACTTTTTCCAAGACCATCGTAACTAGGAGAAACACCATTAGGTGAATGGTCATAATTCAAGGACTACCTGTATTATCTCCTAGGCCTCTGTGCTGTGCTTTCTTATTTGTCTATGGAGATTCTCAGTCATCCAGGTCATAGTTATCCCAAAGGTGCTTTTTCACGAGGCAACTGGACTTCCTTGTTTTTCTTCAAAGATGTTTTGCTTCTCATCTAAAGAAGCTTCTTGGATGAGAAGCGAAACATCTTCAAAGAAAAACAAGGAAGTCCAGTTGTCTCGTGAAAAAGCACCCTTGGGCTTTCTTATTTGGTATTGGCAGTGATCAAAATCAAAACGAGTTATTTGTCCTTATCATAGTTGTGGATCCCTTTGCAAACACTTATTTTTCCATTGCCAAAATGTGAGTATTTTTGTAAAAAATAAAATTAAGTTCTAAGGTTATAAGGTATGCTCATCTTCGAAGGAAACAGTTCCTTGAACTACATCATAGGAAGACTCCTACCCTGTATATTCAATAAAATAAAACAAAACCCTAAATTACTTTAACCGCAGGAGAAAGAACAGTATAAAAAGCAGTGTAATAAATTATCAATTCAGCTCAATATTCTTGATATTTTATTGTATTTAAATTTATTGGCCACCCAATTTCTGTGAACCCTAGGTTGAACACAACTAAAAAATATTAAATCAGGTAGACAGACAAGACTAAAATAAACAACAAAACCAACGAAACAAAACAAAACAAGGGCCTTAAACAATTACTGTAACACAAATCTGCCAAGCCTAAGACCAAAGCCAGGTTTTCAAAGTTTTCCACAACCCTAGGAGGGACAGCACAATCCTTATCTCCCAATTCTCAAGGTGTTCAATATGTTATACAGAAAGAATTCAGGTTCCAAATTCAGGAAGAGAAATCCTAATGTATATATATGAAATGGAGCCATGGTTAGTTAATATAAAAAAATTCCCATATTTCTCTACATGAAAGGTGCTAGAATACTAAGCTAGCCATTTTGTTGGAGTTACACTTTTTTATTGAGATGTAATCCGATTCTATATATGTTTACAACTACTAAATCTCTATTCCCCACCTATGGCTTTATCAATAGAAATACAGTAAAAGGAGATAAAACTGTACAATTGACAAAACATGTAAAATGGAAAGGGAAGAGAAGAATGAAAAAAATCAAACAGCCATGTCTGAAAGAACAAAACTTAGTCAGCTAGAAAACAGATGAGTGCACGCTGCTTTGCATAGACAAGATTTGGGATATAAGGCTAATTAAAATTAAAAAAAAATAGAAGCAGGATCAGCAAATGAGAAGGCCTGAACTAATTTTGTTTCTTTTACCTCCTTTATTGTTAAAGCCATTTATTCCAAAAAGGGAATAAGTTATTTGCCAATGTTAAGAATATATTATTTTATAAGAAATTCACCTTTAAAGATTCCTATCGAAAAGACAGCAGAGTGCAAATCATTTGCACATTAATTTATTCCATATTTCCAACCATATTTCACCTCAAAATTCATGTGATCCCCTACATGTGGGTGAAATCATGTTCATAACCTGTACATTACAATGGTTTCTATATTGTGAATTATTTGGTATATTTATTTTCATGAGAAGAACTACTGTATCAAAAGCAGCAGTGTATCTGGATAAACAAAGAAAGGAAAGAGGGTTGGTTTTGGGGGGAACATTCAATATACTGAAGAATTCAGTAACATTTTCTACCTTTTAAATGATAAATGAAAATTAAATGCATTCCTATGTTACCATCTATATATCAATATATGCTTTTTTGAAATATGAAGAAAGCATTGGATATATAATATATAATAATATATTCTAATGTTAATTTTGGTATAATAACTCTGTTTTCTAAGTATTATTATTCATGTAGTATGGATAATGCTCAGGTCAGTTGGTGATCTTGAAAAAGGCAAATCACAGTCCCAAGCATCCTAGAACAAGAAATGAAAAATTACTATGGACATGGACATGTAGCTACAGAAATCAACTTGAACGTTAAGGAAACTTTCTCTTTTAATTTCAGATAAAAAGTCAGGGGAACTGAAGAAGCTACATATTGTGATGACAATATGGCAGAGCTCATGTTGAACCAGTAAAGTTTTGATCAGTATCCTCTAGACTTAACAAGCCTACTGTTTTCCTAGAGAGCTCTGACAACAGAAACTTCAATGGACTCAATGGATTTACAAATTATTTTGCTGGCAAAAGTCTATAAAAAGAGAATCTTGTTGTTTATTTACCTTCCTACATCAAGCCACAGAAAAACTTCTATGTTCAGAGTAGTATAAATTCTGTAATAAATGTAGTTCAAGTCAGAGACCATAATATTTAGATAAGATTCATATTCTCCCCTTTGTCAATAAATTGTTAAGCAACAGTCCCATTTCCTCATCTCACAAAATCAATGTCCTTAAATTCAAGTAGAAATTATGGAACTAACTGCTGAACCACAATATACCAAGAAATGTTACATACATCAATTTTTCCAAAAGGTGAACTTTACCAACCTGTTTTTCTTTCTTCTGTATTTTCATTATCATCAATTTTGGGGTATATATTACTTCTGTAAAATATAAAACAAAGCTCATTCCAGAAATTCAAACACACAAGATCAGTTTGGGAAGTCTTTTAATATAAGGCTCTTTCAAAAGTGCTACTGTTCACTTAATAAAAATATTATCTGTGAAAGATGAGCTTCTAGAACATAGTTCCTGTGACACCTTAAAAGACTTGCTAGTTTACTGTGACATAACCTTTTAAAGTATTTATTAGCTTTTTAAAATATAGAGGACAATGTTGTTGTTTTTTGTGATGATAGAAATCCAATTTATTCCTTTCACTGATGGGACAGGTTCATCTAGAGAAAGAGAAGGAACATTTTATGCATTGGAGTAGAGGCAGAATTGTGGTTTTATTTTAAAAAAACATAAATACAGCTATGTCCTAACCACATTTGTTGGGCAACAAGCCCTATTAAATGAAGAAAAGCTTACTGCTGAACAGACATAATTGGGAATGCACTATAAATAAGTTGCTGAATACAACTACAATACAGTGTCAGAGATATTGACAAACAGCTCCAGTTTATAAATAAAGGCAATACCTTTTCAAAGGCTAAGGTATTCAAATTACTATAATTTATTATTCCTCGATGAAAACATTGTTACCCATAAGAATACGTCACCTCTAGTGCTCTTCTACAGAAATGAGACAGAAAAATAAATAAGCATGTACAGAATTCCCAGTTCCTCTACTACAACTGTTACTCCAGATGGGATGGAATGTAGATCTGGATGTTAAAATCCAATACATTGAAGAAAACTCAGTTGAAAGAGGATTATCTTAAAAGAAAGTGCTAAATATAAAAGTCATACAAAAGTCAGCTTCTGCTTTCCTCAAGGAGCCCCTTCTCCAATCAGAATCTACCTATGTTATGTATTGGTAGGAAATGTATAGAGTTCCTATCCGTTAAGTTAAAAATTTCATGACTTAAATTGTTTACATTTTTGAATGTACACAGAAGCTAAATATCTACAAAATACAAGATCATGCACAGAGCACATATACACATCAACTAATGTTGGTTTTAATTAGTTTGTTCAGCTTTAGTTACCATGCACTGATGGTGATTATGATAAATTTTGGCTTGCATTTTAAAATTCAGAAACTTTCCTGTTGCTCTGATTCATTTGCTTAGCTTTGATGTGTATACTCACATCTTCTAGAAGTTGAGTTTTCAAAATACTTATAAGTGCAGAATTTTCTAGTTTGTAGAGCCTCATATTTACAGTGTAGTATTTTTTTATTTTATGGTTGTAATATTAAGATTATTCATATAAAGATTGTTGTTGTTAATTGCGGTCCACAGGCTGGGTAGCGTTGGGGTACCTGTTGCAAGGAGGTCCCAGAAGGACAGGAGATGGTAGAAGACCTCAGGTAAATTCAAGTGCGGATGACGAAGTCACTGAGGTAGGTCGGTGGAGTAAGAGACAGCAGGGGAAGAAGATAACGGGAGTTAGAAAGGGTCGTAATCCGGGAAGAGGTCACTCAGGAAGGAAGAGTCTAGGTGGCCAAAGTATTTGAGTTTCAACTTCAGGATCTGGCCTTCTAAAGAGCAGTCAGGGTTGATCTCTTCTAGGACTGACCGGTTTGAACGCCTTGCAGTCCAAGGGACTCGCAGGAGTCTTCTCCAGCACCATAGTTCAAAGGCCTCAATTCTTTGGCGCTCAGCCTTTCTTATAGTCCAACTTTCACAGCCATACATTGCAACTGGGAAAACCATGGCCTTGACTATACGCACTTTTGTTGGCAGGGCGATGTCTCTGCTTTTTAGTATGCTGTCTAGATTTGCCCATATAAAGATTAAGCAGCTGGAAACACCCCTAATACAAATATTACAGGCACAATACATGGACTCAGGTCCCGCATGGTTTTTTCCTATGTTGGCACAGGTAAGACGGGCAGGTTCCCAAAAAACAAATTGCTGAAACTGTGTGCTGAAACAGCGTGCTATAATGGTTCAGATATTGGACCGGCATTTGGGAGAATATATTTAAGTCTATGCTCATCCATAGCATAATTGTCTTTTGGCCCAATCTACCTGATAGTACTATTGTGGGGAAAAGGGAACACTTGTACTCTGCCTTGAGCTGCTGAGTCCATAAATCAACAAACAACAAGGTGGAATGATAATAATCCATGCTGACTGCTACCCCCAAACAGCGAAATTGGTCAAGTGGATAGCTTTTCATTTGAAAAAAAAAAAGAATCAGAAAATATGAAGACAAAGCTGAATCAAAGCAACAGAAAGAAACTATTTTCCATCCACTCTAGCAACATAAAAAGGAAATGCACTTGCCTTTTCCAGGAGCAATACATTGCCCTTTTTTTTGAAGAGAAGAATGAAGGAACTTGTTCAGTTCAAAAATTGGAAACCAAAGAACGTGAACACTTCAAAGTAAGATCTCATCCATTTTTATTTCAGTATCCTACAAGAGCATAAAATAATCTTATTATTTCTTTCCTATTACAAGAAAAACCATACAAGAGAATGAGTTATCACAGCAGCATCTTTAAATATAAAAACAAAACAGAGGACATTTATATGGGAAATGATGTTTAAATCAGTGACAAATCAAATCTATCTTATTCCAAAGACAAAATGTTTCATCACAGGTGACTTAAAAAGAGCCTAAACACTGCAAATGATTTCTTAGTTTTATTGTAATTTTAACTTTTTTAACCTAGCTTGCAAATCTACGTAGATAATCTCTAAGTTATTTGTAAAAATTAGTATTAATGGTAATTAATTAATAATAATTAGTAAACTATTATTATTTGCAAGTGATTACAGCTTCTGAAAAACCATCACAAATCCTCTAAAATCAACCTGTTGCCTAAACAGAGACGCAGTGCTTGCTTTCCCAGTGTTTTGTCCTCCAGATAGGTTGGGTTGGGTTGAGTTTTTCACATGGTTTGTGTCTTCTGCTTTCTTGATTCATAGTGCTTTACTCTTGTGGCAAAAGCCATGTAACAAAGAACTTCACAAGGATAGTATAGCAGCCAATTAGTGGTGCTTTTGCACAGGTCAAATTCCACCATGCGTATATAATTTGGGATTTGTTACCACCGTTTTAATTTGAGAATGGGCAACTAGCAAAGGAACTAATATCTTCATCACTGGAGGATTTCAAGAAGAGACTGGACTGCCATCAGAAATGGTGTATGGTCTCCTGCTTGGGCGGGGGGTTGGACTAGATGACCTGCAAGGTCCCTTCCAACTCTGCTATTCTATTATTTTATTGTCTCAAGAAGGCTAAAGAAAGCTGGATACACAATTTAGGAAGAACCTTTCTGGAGCAGGAAAGTTATTTTCTCAGTTTTCTGGAATAAAACTGTCTCAGAACAGCACGAACTCAGAAACACTTGAAGATCAAGAAAAGTAATTTAGCATTATACAGAGGTCTGGCATCTTATTTTAGAGACTCCAATGTAATGGTTCCATTAGATAAAAATCAAATTTGGACTAAGAGCCATTGTAAACCATTCAAGTGTTTTATCTGGTTGTTAGCCGCCCTGAGTCCGCAAGGAGAAGGGCGGGATATAAATTAAATTAATAAATAAATTAATTAATATTCATGAGGAATGATTAGAGTTCTTTATTCTTTTAAGACGGTGGGTACATGGAAAATAATGTAGTTCGTCTACACCAAAAAAAGTGATAGTTTCTGGATTACCTCAGTTAACCTATTTTATTAAACTAATGTTTACTCTACGTCCCGTGTAGGAGAAAAATTTCAGGTATATTTATATATATATGTAAATATGTTTACATTACAATTGTTACAAAAGCAAAGCAAAATATACATAGAAGTCCTACAATGTAGAAAACGAAAATAGCATAACAATCAGTTGATTATCAGCTATTTCTGAAACATTTACAATGAATGAGAGAACAGTTTGCAAATTCACTGAGTAAAATAATTAAAATCTTTTGACTACATAAATTATATTTTTACTCTAAAAATTTTGCATGATTACTATTCTGGGCTTCTTTCTTTTAAATCAATATCTGTGGGAAATGTGGAACTATCATGTCTATGCAGATGATTTAAAAGTTCAATAATGCCCAAAATAAGAGAATTTAATTGGCATTTTATTTGTTCAAAAAAGGCAAGTGCAAAATTGTGACTCATGTAGAACACATTGAATAGCTGGAGGAAGAAGGCTGCTTTTATTCTTACACTGAACATGGAAAGCTGAAATAAGGATTTTTAATAAATGTATCCAAATAGCAAGGCTGGTTTTACCTGTTACACAATTTGATTTACAGAATCAGATAAATGAGTGGAATTTACTGTTCTGCCACAGACATCAAAAATGATTTTCTTGTTGCAACTTTTTCTTTTTCAACTAGCAATTTCAGGATTTGAATTCCGGACTTTCTGCATACAAAGCACGTGGTCTTTTTTTAAGCTGCAAGTAACCATTCAGAATTGTAATATTAAGCTTCAAATGAATGACTATAAAAGATAGGTAGCTCTATCATTTATACAACAAAGGTATTCAAGCTGTATGCTAATCTATAATAAAAACTGGCAACCCCACATCATGAGGTAAAGTTAACTATCTCAAAACAATTGGCAGAAAACTTTGAGAGAAAGTAAAATTTGGTTTCAGCTTTAAATATTAGTGAAGACTTACACAGTTAGATTCTAATGCATCAACTTTATTTTTTTTAAAAAATAACATACCCAGGTTTTTAAAAGCTGCAAAATTGCAACAAGAAGGGGCTATTTGTTCGCAGTCCTAACTAATCAGCACCGTGTATCGCTGGTTTCTGCTGCAAACTCACAAAACTGGTTTTCCCTGAACTCAATTCTAAGTTTATAAAAAAAATGTTCATTTGCAAAGATCAATGTACACTACTTGAATAATGCTTTTGTTCAACAGTCTGTCCCCAGATGGCCAATGAGATGCCTATAAGAGGCCCACAAGCAGGAACATTCTACTGTGAATATTCCTAAGAACTGTATTCAGAGACATACTAGATATACTGTATATTAGCCAATGCGACTAAATAGAATTTATCTTTCGTTAAATATCTAATCATCTTTTTCCTTCTATACTATAGCCTAGAAGCAAAATCTAACTTTTAATCTCCTTTCTTATTATAATCAGTTTTCTTGTTCTATTTTTTCTGCGTGACTGCTATCTCCCTAATCACTTTATACTTATTCTCCCAACTTCATTTTTTGGTATTGTTAACTTGTGAAATAATATTAATTATTTATTAATTCATTGATGTCCAAAGCCTTTGTTTAGCAAAAGGAGGCCCTGCTTTTTAGTATACCAGCTCAAGACAGGCCTTTTTCGAGGAAAGAATCCAGATATTAAAATTCCTTTCAAATTAGTCAAATTTCTAGTGACTTTACCTCACATGGTTTTCAGGCATCTCCAGTTCCCTATATTCTTTGTCTTGAATATTTGTTCTCAATATTTAATTATTCATTCAATTTTTATAGCTGTCCATCTCAACAAGTGACCTTGAGCAGCTTACAATTACATGCTTATAACATTTTAAATTATTACTGTACTGCAAAAGAAATGTTGTACTATAAACAAGTATGAAGGAATCCATCATGTATCTGCTGCAACAGCATCGCCTCTGAAAATTTACTCTAGATTTCAGCATGAAATCTGTACATATATTATATTATATATTACATTATATCATATAATTAATAATTTCTACTTTCTAACTGGCAGTCAACTAATATGATGGCCAATGGTCACTTTTCAGATTATAGCTACTAATAAAAGTAGCTAAAATATATCTGCAAAATAATAACAATAATGTGTGAAGAACTTATTATCTATAACTTTACTATCCTGTCCTATTCTTGCCTGCAGAACTTTCCAGCATACCAATTTCATGCGTCTGATCATCTCTGTGCTTTGACAAATAGACATGCTGAAATTCTTTCTCTGTATTTAAGTATCCAAGTAATACCATTTCTCTGTTTAATCTCAAATGAGGCTTCCCAATTTTCTAAATGGTTTTATGAACATCAGAAGGTTCTCACACAGGCTCTGATTGGTTGGTTGGTTGGTTGGTTGGTTGATTGATTGATTGATTGATTGATTGATTGATTGATTGATTGATTGATTGACTACTTGCTTGGAAATATACAGGTTTTATGTTTCTCTCAAGGATATTTTATATATTTTTTAAAAAATGGCTAAACATTTTATAAAACAAACAACAAAATCCACTTGCAAACAGTAAAAAGCTACCTCACACATGAACAAAAATGTTTCCAAACAAGTGTAATAATCCACTGGGTTTATCATAGGTAGTCTTTCTTTATTATTATTGCTGAAAATCATTTACCTGTCATACTGATCTCTTTGATTAATTGTGTCATTTCTTAAGCATGACACATTCTTGAACAAAGCTTATATTATAATCTTAAAGAGTTTTTATACATTGATGTATAATGTGAATTTCAACCCTTTCAGCTATCTATTTTCCCATTGTTGCATTTATATCATATAATGAAAAATTTTAGCCCACTTTATCACATAGTTTTCAACTTAAAGAAAATAATATTTGTAGCTCAGGATTGAACTATGGGGTCCTTGGTGCTTTCTGACCTTGGTTGTTTTCTTGCAGAAATTTTATTTCCAATGGATAATAAAAGTGCTAGGACTGATGATGTTACTAAGTTGTGTAATGAAACATCTGTAAGCTTAGAGAGCACCAAGGACCTCAGAGTCTTTCATTTATTCTTGTAAAATCCACATTGACCTTGACTTTGTCATACTACAAATATCCATTCCACCCAAGTCTCAGATCATGTTTTTTTTTAACTCCAAAAGCCTTTTGTTTCTCAGCAGCAGTCACTCCTTCATCCAAACCAAGCAGCAAACTGAAATGCAATTTCAAACCAGGTAAGCCCAGTCCTCTGCATTTTGTAGCACTTTATATTTAGCTCATGTTTTTTTTTTCTTCTGCCATTGTTTAAATGGTGTAATCAGTTGTCACAACAGGTATTTTGTGAAACAAAAACATCATTCTGGTAAAACTTCATTTTTATCAATGAAATTCTCCCTTACAATGACAACTGTAATTTCTCCAATTGTAAAGTATCTTTTTAAACTTCATTCCATACCTTAACATGATTATTTTGAAGTAACATACAGTTCACACTTGTCATATTTTTTTTCTTTTTCTTCTTAGTATTTTTCCTGCAAATGCGGGATCTGGTTGGCTTTTTTCAGATCAACCAGTTTGTCACCTGAGCCTAACATGATAGACTGAGAGTGATTGGCCCAAAGTCACCTATCCAACTTTCATGCCTCAGACAGGACTAGAACTGACAGAGTCCTGGTTTTTATACTGGTACCTTAAGTACTAGATCAAACCGAGTCTTTACTCCTATAATCCTCTCAAATTCAAATCGCTATTCAGTATTTCATGAACATT